GGACTTATTTTATAAAAACCTATCGTTCTACATTTACACGCATGTTCAACAATATATTATAACATGACAATCAATAATTAATAATTTTTCAACCACGATAACTTTCTATTAGATACCTATTTATATTCAATAAATATATATATATATGTATATAACAAGCAAGCTAGACGTGATATGACGAATTATATGACCACTGTCACTGAGTAGTGCAGTAATCAAACACAGTTTTGTATTGTTAAATCTGCTCGGATGGGTGACCATCCATTTACCACTTATAAGAAAACGTATTCCGTAAAAAAAAACCTACTGTAATAAAAAAGTCATACGTTTAATTTCCAATGATTTCCAAAAGCTAATAAAAAAAGAGTACCTATACTATTTTACTTAATCATACAGAAGATGACCATTGATTCTATCGTTGATAATACGACGATGATTATGATAAAAATAAATAATGAACGTCCTTTATTTTATCTCACAAATATAGTATTATTCTACATTCTTACACTTCAATACACATTATTTAGTTTTAACCAGTGTTTGCAATTACAACTTTATAGAATATTATATTGTATGTTTGTTTGGTACGATAAAAATATATAAATATAAACAATTAAAATTGATTTTTTTTGCACCAAAAATGTATTTAAATTAATTTATAAATCTTAAAAGTTTGTAATGTCAAACATTCAAATATATTAAATTCATAAACTATGGGTTATTTAAAAAAATAATATTAATTGCTATTCCATTAACCTTGTCAATATTAATATTCGTTGGTTGTTCGTTACCACAAAGGTATATATTTAACCAAATGCATTTTATATACGTCTTTGAAACGGAAAATCATTATCAATTATTGTAAGAGTCAAAACGAAACATAAGACCGTAAATATAACGTATTTATACGTCCATGCCGTATAATATTTAGAAATAAAAAGAGATATAAAGAGCGAGGTATAATATATAATATCACTTTCAGTTCAAAACACGCCCGCGCTGCTCAAAGCTGGCCGACCGACCCAGTTTATTTTGGAATTTATCGGAGTGTTCGAATTCGAGTCTGGGTTGGGTGCTCCGCACCGGCCTCATCTGGCCTCAGAGCCGTCGTTCTTTTCGATTTATCCGAGCAATTACGCAGAAGTTGGCCCGAAAGACAAATCGCCCAGCACTCTCGGGCAACCCGTCTGCCCATGTATATACACATATATATGAAAATCGCGAAGTGTCTTCCATCCCGCACCGACACAGCCCCTGCCAACATCCCCCGTGGACGACCAAAAACGCAAACTCGTGCGACGTATATACTTATACGCATATATTTTGTAAGTGTGTGTGTGTGTGTATGGTCTTATAAATTTACATTGAAACGGTGGCGTGGCACGCGCGACTATTACATTACACCCGGAAGGCACTACTTTTGTAATTCCGGAAACTTTGCAGCGATCTCGGTGGGTATAAAAGTGCGACATTTACGTTCCAATTGATCATCCCCCGTCGGCCGTCACCATCCGTTCCGCATCGCAACCACCCTTTCTCACACAAACGTCTTTGTGTATGTTTGTATGTGAGTGTGAATTTTATACATATATATCAGTGACGACAAGTTTCAGTAGGTCAATATCGGTTTACGCGTAACAAGTGTGCGAGGGTGACCACGATGTTCAGATTACTAAGACAAATCTCTGATAATTTGTGCGTTTTATGTCGCAATAAACATTTTTTCCACTTTATTTCGATAACTAGAACAACAGCGATCGAAAGTTTACAGTTTCTGATTGTTTCTGCCAAAAAATACAATTTTACCAAAATGTTATACTAATACAACGTATAATATTATGTATATTACCGATATGATGTAAGCCCCTATGCTCAACGCACAATAAGAGCGATAGAGCTATTTTGTCATTTTACATAATAATAGTATACTTATATAAATTGAAACAGGCCAATTATTTTTCATGTATCAATGCTGTTATAATTTTTTTTTACCTCAAAGTTGTAATATAAGTAGATTTTTTTTTTATACATTTTTAAACAAGATATCAAATGAATTTTTATTCGTAATAATGACTGTATAAGAACTATTATTATTATTTTTTTTTTTTTTTTATTGATATTCATTGATTACTTTGAAAAGATTATACCATTTTATTATTAATAGAAATCATAGGTTGAGGAATAAAAACGTTTTATTTTTGATAAATCAATAAATGCCTTCATTTAGCCTTACAATATGTAAATAATTTATTATAGCTTAGCGTCATTCATTTTAAAATTTAACAACTTATTGTTGTATGCATATTCATACTATAATTTTTTTTTTTTACAAATTTAACTTATACCTACTTACTGTACACTTGATATTACACGATTTACGAAATATCTGCCATGATACTTGATGTGTTTATTATTATTGATATTTATAATGTAATTTTAAATTATTACAATTTATTACCGATAATGCTTTGCAATATTTTAAATAAAATTAGTAGGAAATTTCAATAGTCATAAACTTTAGTAATCTTCATCGAATTCCCAAAGATAACATCCATAAACATAATAACAATTATTTACGTTGCATATACTCATCCATTCTAATTTATCATGTCTATATGTAATTGTTAAAACGCATTTATAGTTAACACAAAAGTAATGTGCATACAAATACCCTTTTAATTCGCATTAAGCTATGGTACGCATAAGTTATTTAATTATATTGATAAAATATAATTAACTTCAAATACAAGATTAAAAAATGCATAAACAACGTATTGCAAATTAATATTTTTGTTTGAAATTTCAAAATTTCAAATTTTAATTTAATACCAAAAACTCATTACTTAAAAATATTTATTTTTTTAGTGTTAATAATTATTATAATTGTCTTTGATTATACAATTTTAATAATAATATAATGTAATATGATTATTATTTTTTAGTTATCAATTTTCAAAAATTTCTATAATTTTAATCTTTAACTTTAAATTAAATTAGCTTTCTTTAATTTATTTAAATTTAAATGTCGGTAAGTATTTTTATATATGAATGATGAGTATCATTGTAGGCTATATACATACAATACTGCTTTTGAGATGATATAAAGGACTTTGAACAATAATCTCTGAATATGGTTATTACTGCCTACTGGAGATTTTAACTGGAGCCCAAAGCTAAATTATCTATCGGCATTACATTTGTGTTTCAATAATTTGATAGATAATTTTATATTTTTAGAGGTGATCATAAGATATTAAAGAGAATTTGATTGTTAAGTGATAATAGATACTTTTTATGTGATTTGATGTAGTGGAGGGTATACGTGTATGGGAATGCATTTATTCTACAAACAATGCAAATTACGACAGTACAAGACTGTAATTAGACATTAATATTATCTATTGCACAATGCATGGCTAAATGTTATTTAGCCACGGCACAGCGTATGAATACCCATTGCTAAGTATATAGTTAGCCAAGGGTATACTGACCATAGAGTTATTTATAAATATTGTGGGAAAACGTATATGTATCTAACTGATAAGACAAAAAAAAAATTAAAATATATAATAATATATATCCTAGAAGTATGATTGTAGACTGAAAAGTCTCAATTGCAGCAGAAAAGTATTACAGTGTATGTAATTATGATAAATATAAAACAATATTAATGCAGCATAAAGGATTTAAGGGGGGTTTGGGGGGGCTAAGTCCCCACGTTTATATTTCAATCACATTTAAGCATATAATGACTAAAAAAATTACGACTACATCACTGGATATAACTGAATTAACGGTTTGTTACGTGATCACCTAGATATTGTATGTATGAGGTAGTAGATGGGTATTGATTGTTAAAGAAAAAAGTCTGACATCACGTATTCCCTCTAGAAGAATGAAGGTAATGTGAATGAACTTCGTCTCATACTCTCAATCATTTTTACTCTTTGGTCTATATTTCAAGTTCCGAAAACGCAAAGGTGGTCTTAAACCATTTATTTTACGATTAAGTTCCTTTTAAATTCGTAATTGAATTTTATCAAGTATAATTGGTATACCTACCTAAATCATTACCCTATAATATATTTAATAATATTGCTTTGAAAACATTTTATGTTTAATCAAGACAATTTAAAGTATAATTTTAATACTTTAATTACAAAAAGTATTTTTGCATACATTTTGCAATGTGCCGTGTTTAATCTAACTTGTATCAATCCGAAATATTTTGTTTATGTAATTTTATTTTGGTACTGAGCAAAAAATTAAATCTTAAATTTCTGATAAAAAAAATTATAAAAAATTGTGTCTAGACTACTAATAAGTAAAATCTCTGCTTTTGAAAGTTCAAAAATAACTTATTCAAGACTTGATTTTAATTTCCTGCCAACCAAAATCAACAAATTAACTGACTCGGGTCATACTGATGATGTTTAAGCATGTCCAAGGAAAATAACGCAAATTTTAGACATGAATGCAAAGTGCTAGGACTTTCATTAATATTTTATTAATATTATTCAAATTATAAAAATAATCAAATTTATTAAATTGAATTTTAAAAATCTTATAAATAATAATGTAAAAAACATAATTTATTTTGGTCATAGCATCTTTTAAAAAATACTTTTTCTTTGAAAGTTATTATAGATATTTACCACCATTGTAAATATTATCTAATACATATTTTATAATGTTATGCGGTGCGTGATCCAGCTCCTTGTTTTGTTTATTTTTATGATAATGGTGTATATGATGTGTTATTATACTTGAGTTTTTTTTTATTCAATTCTCAATGATGATATTATAATAATAATGATATGCACCGTTGACTTAACTTCAGAAAAAAAAATCCCATTCTGACCGTTAATAATTTTATGCGTCGTATACATTATATCTACTACGGTTGCTGTATGTATTATATTCGTACCCCGGAATAGAAAACCGAATGCACCTATTGAAAATTGCTGAAGGTTATATGCCGTACATTTGATTTATTTCAGATAATGTCCGGCAACACGGATACCTCGACCGTGATCTCGCACCATCTGCTTCCGCCCGTCTACGCATCGCAAGTACGCATATTGCCGTATAGCGTTCACCGTCGCACCGTTTGCCTGAGGGCAGAGATCAGAGGATGCCCGTCCGACCGTGAGTAATAATCGTAGACTTCTATTATATCAACGACGATGCAGTCGTATAATAATAGTATAGTGACTTTAGTAGTACATCTCAGCGTGTATTTGTACATATATATATATATATATATATAGAGAGAGAGAGAGAGAGAGAGAGAAAGAGAAAAAGACTTTGCGGGCGCAAACAATATACACTCATACACACACACACACACACACACACACACACACACACACACACACATAAACATATATATATATAGAAAGGAACGCTATTTCGTACATTCAAATCGATATCATAGAAATCAAAATAACGATGTAGTGCATACTGAGACACCATCTATAATATAGGTATATACGAACAAGCGTATTTGGTATATAAGTATTCATACATCTTAGTTATTCCACTTTCGCGTATAAAACCGAAAAACGGCCAGATAAAATATATTATTCAATAATAAAACCCAATATAACCTGGTAAATTACTCCGTATATGTAATTATTGTACGTCGATATATTATTATTCGTACGAGGTAATTTAATTATAATCGTAATATTATGCGATTCTGGCTGGTTCGTGATAAATCGTCGATCGTGAGAAACGAAAAAAAACATGGAATATATCGATTGTCATGGAAAATCAGGGTGATTGTAGATAATTTTTGTATCAAATAAAAACTGCACTGTGTATAGACAGACGTTTTACGTGCACCGAATGGCGATGACCGGTATCCCGGATACGTCTAATTTGTGATTTTATAATAATAATAATAATTATTATTATTTTTGGCGTTCATAATCTGCTCGAAAACGCAATTAACTCGACACTATCGGAAACGATGTTGACGAACATACACACATACAATGTACATTTTAATCTTTTTCGAGTGTTCGAAACGTTCGTCGTATCACTGTAATATAACCAAGTCGTTGATTCAAACGATTCGGGTCAAAGGGATATGACACAGTACAATTTTCTTGTGTGTATCAGTGGGTGTGAGTGTATTACACATTTTTCCTCGCGAGACTCGTAGAATAAACAAATAGGCGTCTTGTTGAAGCGCGCGGTCTAATTAACAAATAAGACTCCAGAGTTAGTACACAAAGATGTAAGTGAATTAAGTGATGGCATAAAGTAAAATTAAATTACCTACTTAAATTATAAATTCAGTACACAATTCCAGTCGTCAGACTTTAACCGTACACGTACAATTATATGATTTTTTGACCATTGTGATGTATTGAAACGACACGTCGAGGTTATCATATCGTGCACGTTTATTCATTATTCTAATAACTAGTGCTGGTTCGTCACACCCAAATACTTAACAATTTCCGAGAGCTCTTTAATATTTTTCAATATTGAGGGCCTATAGCCAAATGAAAAATACATATTTAAATCACTTAAAAGTCGCGAATAGGACATTGCATATTCGCTTCGAACTAATTACAAAGCCTGTTGTATTCTACGCATTGTGCATATTTTATAAATATTTGACACTCATTACACCATGGTTTAATATAACGATTGTCATAATAAACATAAATAAATAAATTGTTGTACTTTCATGCTTTATGAAATATTTAAAATCGCATATAAGGACTTGATCCTAATGTGTACATTGTAGATAATTGCATCTAGTTATTTTTATAGCAGATAATATATTTTCAAACTACACAAATGATGTATCTTTTAAAATGTATATCAATACGAGTACGTCGGTATAATCATATTATAATCACTGAACTTATATAACAATTAATTAAGTGTATTATTAAGCTGTATAATGAAATTCAGAATTTTAATCGGTTATTAATTACACGTAAATTATAATTAACCAAATTATTTGAATATTTGAAATAAGGACTTGAGGGGTCTCGCTCCCACAAAAATCAATAAAATTATTATTTATGAGTTTATGACCCATTTAACGCGCACATAATGTGTATATAAAAACATTTAAATTAATGTTTTTCTAGTTCGTTTGTTTATTATACTAGTCACCTACATGAACTCAAATCAAATTCATTAATATATATATATATATTTTTTTTTTTTTTTTGATTAACATATTATACAATAACACTAATGCACATAGTATATGTTATTAGATATTCAAGTTTAAATTTTTCACACCCGTTTTTTGCCACAAATAATATCAATTTTGTCATTATTTTAGAGTGAAAAAAAACTGAACAATATATTAGTATTTTTCCATACTTAAAATTATCGACGTAAGTGTTTTGATTGATGTCGTTAATATTAAGAAAAAAAAGTTAGCATATTTTTCTATTAAACTATATTTTACTTTTTTTCGTAAACATAAAGTCTAATGCATTTGTAATAAGTTCTTATTATATTTCCTTTGTATACTACAGAATACACGCATTCTTATAGAAGTTACCCTAAAAATCGTTATATTATTGCGCCATCTTAATAAACAGTTATTTTTTCATACAAATAAAAATCGATTTTTTTTTTAAGCTATAAACAGTTTAGCTTTTACATTTAAGATAAAGCTATACTATTACAAATCTCTATACTATATTTGGACAATACGTCATATTCTTTAGTTAAATACATTTCAATACAACAATTTAATCATATTTCAATGTGTTTTTCTTATTTTTCAAAAAAATAAGAATAAAACGTATGTACACTTTACCAAATTCTGCATACTCACTCGTATAATAAATATAATATACAAACCTAGCCCATTACAATATTTCATGCAATATTATTTAAAAATATAAATTTAGAATTGAATTTGTATATAAGAATGAAATAAAAAATAAAATGAAAACATGGCATGTATTGATTTTGCAAGATTTACTTATACAAACAATTATATGCAGAATACAAAAGTACTTTTGCAAGAGTTGTTTGGTGAATCAAAACTCAAAAATGTTATTGTTTGTATTGTCTATAATATAAATGGATGGCGCACGTGTCTCAGAGATTTTAGCTTTTATTCTGTTGATATTTACTGATAGATACGTGTCGATGGCTGAAAGAGAAATACAAATGGAAAATAGGAATTGGAGAATAACAGGTGAAAGATTTTTCGCCCCTTTTTATTTTATCTAATAATTTTTTCTCGAAAACGTATTGGCCGTTACTAAAACCCAGTTGAATTCTTCACACACGTATTTCGATGTGTACGGTATCTAAAAGCCTTTGGTCCACGAAAAACTATTGATATAATAATATATTATTTTCTTGCTACATTTACCACCGGCACCTTTGATAGTTGTGGCTAACAAGAAATTGTACCCCCAAAGGCTTACTCATTTTAACAAATACCCTTTTTGCCTTTCTTGACGTTCTTTTTTTTATTGCACTTTCATAGTATGTATATCCCTCCTGTACGAACAGTACAGTAAGTGCTTTTTCCATCTTATCAATATAACTATAAATTGTATTGCCCTTATTTTCAATTATTCTGAGCTTCCCGAGCATGTATTGGGCTTGCTATTTACCAAACTATATATATATATGTATAATTATGCTGTCTAATTATTATTTAATAATTTAATGCTCAGATATTAGATTAAGTAATTAGTAAGTACCCGTATTTAATATGGTATTATTCTGACGAGTACAGACTTCTTATATGATATGTACAATCATAATTATGTTTACTTGACATTCGAAGCATTATTGACATTGATACGAAACGAAAATAAATTTGTCAGGTATAACCATATTTGTAAGTGCAATTTGTAATTTACATTCAAAATTCTAATAACTCTGATTTTCAAATAAAAATTTATTGCAGTTGCTATTGCTTATAGTGTTTTGACAGAGTTCGACTTCACAACGAAGGCCGGTAGGATGTTCATTTAAGTTTGTTGGTTCTCAATGGCACGGCAATAATTCATTTTAGAATTTATAACATATAATAATATCAAAGAGGGGAAAAAATTGGCTCTTAATGCAATACATGGATACGAGATTTCGTACGTGACGGCAATATTCTGCTTTGGACTAACTGACTGTCTGTATACCACTACAGCAGCCTGTATATATTTTAGAGTATATTATACACATACCATGTTGGAACAAAAACATAGAAAAATATGGACGACTACGCATTTTCACCCCGTAACAAACATCAACTACCTCTTCCCTTGCAAACACACCGCGTTCGCAATATTCTACTACCAAACAACCGAACGGAATTTCGATTAATCACGCTGGACACGTTTCACCATGCGGTGTACACTACTCCGGGTACTAAAGTTTCAGCAAACGCCAAAATAATAACCAGTATTCGACCCCTAACGGTTACCTGGGGTTAGAATTTTTTTTCTCCCTCGCCTGGTACGTATATCTGATGCAGTCAAATCCTTAACGGATTATAATGCAGCTTGTGTTGGCTTATATTAATCGGGTTGAAAAGGGTCAGTTGGTCTGATATTAAACATATTGAAAATAATCATGATGATCCGACTAATTGACTCCGAATTCCATAAATAAATAAAAAACATCTTAATTCACTTAAAATATCATATTGTATGATGATACGTTTCATTTTAATTAATCTACACTATAATATTACTTTTTGAAAATTATTAATTTATATCATTTCGTTATCACAAAACAGTTCTGCATTACTTTTTAACTATTTTGTGTTTATCAATGTGATATTTTCGATAACCTTTCCCATCTGAAATATTCAAGTTCCACAAAATATATAGTCTATATTATACGTAATAAATATTCAAAAACTTAAATAATTATGTAATATAATACATTAAATATATAGTTTATATACGTTTATATTACGTTGTATTAAATAGACGAATATGTAAATAAATAATATATTATCCAATTTTAACTGATATAAAAAAAAAAAAAAAAAAATAGTACGTTCTTATGATATCACTATAGATACTGTGGTTTACAATTTAAATTAAAAATACATTTTCATATAAATTTTATTATTATTATTTTTTTATTAATTATTAGTTATATAATTTAATACTACATCAATAAAAAGGAGTTTTTTT